TGCCAAGGACAAAAAGATCTCTCATTGAGGTCATTTTGACAAATGGTAAGAAGATCCCCATAGAATCAACTCCACACACTCGACTATAACCCTTGGAAAATAATTAGGCCTTATACCTCTCAATGGTATCATCAGCATGATACTTGATGGTGAACAACCACTTACATCCACTGGTTCCTTCCCATGAGGCAAATCTGCAATATCCCATGTATTATTTTTGCGAAGTGTTTCTATTTTAGTTCTCATAGCCTCCCTCCATTCTGGCTTAGATAAGGCCTCTCTATTGATTTGGGTATAGGCTGAGAGGAAATAGAGGCTAGGAAAGAGTAATAGGATGGTGACAAGAAATTGTAAGAAGGTACTTGGACGTTGTACATTTTCTCTTACCCTTTCTCACAGCTATAGGTCGGTCTAAATCTAGGAAAGAAGATGCTAAAGCAAGTCGTAAAGGAACTATCCTCTCTTCAGGAGCTAGGAATGCCTAAGGCTCAACTGTAGATGGGAGAACAACCTACTCATGTCATAAGCTTTGTCTTTGGTACCACCTCTAAATAATAGGATGAGTAGTGAAAACTAAAGGACTAGCAAGTGGAGGAGGAGGAATGGGAGAACTGGGAGAGGAGGAGGACTTTGAATCAACTAGCGGCCTCTTCCGCCAGTCGGCCTCTTCCACTGTTGCAACGAGTTACAGCGGCGATTTCGAATCAACTAGCGACAACATCCCTCTCTATAATTTCTCTCCCTATTCTCTCTCTCTCCTCCTCTCCCTCTCCCTCCATTTCCTCTCCTCTCTTTCTCTCGGCAACATCCTCAACCACCACTCAGTCTCTTCCACCACTGCAACTTCTTGCATTGGCGATTTTGAATCAACCAACGACAGCATACATCTCTGTAATTTCTTTCCCCCAAACCAATCATTATGAATAGAGCATCCTGACTTATCATTCTCTCTTCTCTCCTTCCCTTCCTTCCCCCCCCCCACCTCCTCTTGCCTTTCCCGCCACCACCAATGCAACTCTCAGCAATGGCAGTCCTATCTATTCTAATTATTAAATATTTTTTTAATAATTTTATTCTTATTTTAATAAATTATTTTTAATTTTTATAAATATATTTGTACTAATTATTAATTATTTTAATTTTTATTAATAATTAATTATTAAATATTTTAATAGTTTTAAGATATTAATTTGATAATTATTAAATTTTTTTTCATTGCTTTATGGACTTTATTACTATTTTCATTATTATTTTAACTCTTAATAATTTATTTTTAATTTATAAATTTATATGTATTTTTTTATTTTATTCTTGTTTTAATAAATTATTTTTTACTTTTTATAATATACTCATATTTTTCAATATTATTTTGAATTTAATAAATTATTTTTTATGAAATAATACAAATTGAACTCAAAAATTACTAAATAGTCTATTTTAGGGGTAAAATAATAAAATCAGGGAATTTCAAATGCCGAAGGGTTGATCCAACACAAACAACCCTATCTATTCAGAGCCTCTAAAAAGTAGAAAAGCATCTATGCCTCTTTTCAGATTTCAGACACTTTTAATATCTTTTTAATTTTTCAGATTTATCAAACGCCTCCTAAACACATTAGAACCAAAAGTTACTCTCTGAGGTGATACTTGACTTTGTTCAGGTATATTCAACAAGTATATCCCATTCACCTCTTGGCCACTCCCAATCACCTTCCGAGATTACATGTCCTGAAAAAGACATTAAGAAAGGAAAGGCTACACTACGATTCAAGGATTTTGTCAAATTAAGTCTATATTAAGTTTAGGAAGATGAAGAACTGAAGATAAGGTAAGGGTATCTAAAGCTCTGATGTTTCCCTAGCAAGAGAGCCATCAGGAAGAGAGATCTTGCCTCGGTCAAATAAAACCTAGTAAGTATAAAATCAATGAGACACACTAGTCATATAGTTAGAGGCACTAGAGTCAATTATCCAAAGGATCCTACGATTAACTAAGATAGAAGCATGATTCACAATGGCACAAATACCTGAATGGGAATAGGCAAAAGAGGAACTATTTCTTAAGGAGGTAGTAGTTGTAGTAGTAGACTCTAAGTGGTCAATGAGTCAGCCATACTTCTCATACCCTACTCTGGCAGCTGCAAGCTGTTCTCTCACTAATTTTTCTTCACTGAAACATTTTTCAACTCTCCTCATTGATAACCATGGCATAAGATTGAGATAAGGTCACTTCGTCCCTCGTTAGAATGTTTCGTCTAACAATACCATACTCAGGATTGAGTCCTATAAACAACTCAAAAACCCAATTCCTCTCAACTACCTTCCTATGAGTCTCAGCATCCTTAGTACACCTCCACACAACAATCTCCATCAAGTCAATCTCCTACCATAGGCTTCTCCCCCTGTCTTAAATTATTCACATCATTCTTCAGCTTGTAAGCCCTAACAACATTCAACTTCTAAAACTAAGTCTTTGTGACACTGTCCCACACCTCCTTTGTAGTCTCCATTGACAAATAATGTTGGTTAATATGAGGCTACATGGAATTCATAACTAGCCTACAATTTTATAATGCTCCTACATCCACCGTTCATAGACAGGGCCATCCTCCTTAGGTTGCTTCTTACTCCTAGTGATGTACCCCCATTTCCCTCTACTGTAGACATGAATCTTAATTGGTTGAGACTATGCTAGATAATTAGTCTCATCTAACCTCACTGAGGTTATTGCCCCAAACAGTCTCCACAAACCCTCTTGGGCCAAACTTGGAGTCTATAGGTTGTTTCATCTCACCTCTAGTTTGCTCCATTGGCCAAACAGAAACAAATGAAAATAAATATAGGATATTACTAGTCAAGACTCACTGCCTCCTAAGGCCAAAACTTCTTTTCAAATAGCCAAAAATAGGATTTCACCAGACCTAGCACCTGGAGAAGAAGGAGAAAGTCTGGTCGCTCTTATTAGAGGCTCCACAAATCTCTCCAACTTGGGTTGATCTCAAAGATACTCAAAAAACTTCTATTCCAGCCCCAAGTGCCACTTCCAAATTCCCTCTATACCCCTCAATTTAAAAACTCTCCAGTTAGCTAGGGTTTTCAAGAAACTCTCCAAGAACCTACCTTGGGCCCCAAACAAGCACTGCAATCTTCTCCAAAAACCTCCTCTAATTAGGCTGAATACTTATTAATTAATCAACCAATCAACTCTCCATACAACCTGTGTATATGAGATTAAAAAGGAAAAAAGGAAGAAGGTAGGAACTCTGCTCTAATACCAAGATGTAAATCCCACGTACAATAATCAGAAATAAAGCAGAAAAGAAGATTGTAGAAGGTGGAAAAGACATACAATGGAAGAAGAAGACAGAAGAAAAGGGAAGGAAGGGAATCAATTGAACCTCTCTCCTGTCCCCCACTATTATATTTTATTCTTTAATTGTAAAAAGAACACAATTACATGAATACCCTTAATAGGGCAGCCAGCACTAGAAACAATAATAAAATAAATAAAACAGACCCATAACTAAGGCCCACTAATCACAAATATAAATCATAAACAGAAATAAATAAACAATAATGAACTATGGACCATTCGGCCATCATCTCTACAACAACTAAGTAAACAAACCAACCCAAGCCAAAACTATGGACCATTCGGCCATCATCTCTACATCAGATTTTAATCTCTCCACCTCCAACATCTTTTTCTTTCCTTCTCCCATTCCTCAAGCAAACTTTAACATTCTCCACTTCCTTCAATTTCAACCCCATCACCTTTAGTAATTTCATTAGCATTTTCAACATATCCTTCCTTTCTCTTAAGATCCTCAAAAAACTTGCAAATCATCTTCCAAATCCTCTCCCCTTGTTCCCTTTCTTCAAGTCCTCCCTACTCACCCTTCCCCCTCTACCCCACCCTCTCATCTTCTTGGCAAGACCCAGGCAATGGTTGAGATTGTTCAATATCTGTTACTGAATGATACACATGAGAATAGAGTTGGTTCAAGATTGAAAATTGGGGTCAATAGGACCTGGATTGGAATCCAACCCTAAGTTTCCAATTCCCAGAGGATTTGTACTGGGTAAGGCCACTTGAAAAACACATAAGCCCCTTGTTGGTGCATCTCTGCTCTGGCTCACAAGAGATCTCACCTCTTCATTCCCATTACCCTGTAATTATTTAACCTGTAAGATCAGTTTAAGTCCATTGGAGCAGTGATTTTGTTTTCTACCACCAGTCTTCTTCCCTACCAACCCCCACTATGATCTCAGACATCTATCGCAACAATACATTCCCTGGGCCACCAGACATCAGTTGCAATAACACACTTCTCCTTCTACATTCTCCTTCTCTTCTTCTACTCTATTTTTCTGATTTCTTAATTAAGTTAAATACAAGGATGGACATGTCATTGCCCTATTCTCTAGACCAGTGGGAGTGGGGGAGGGGACTCTACTAGAGTTGAATTGTATGCAGTGCTGCAAGGAATTCATCTTGCAAATGAGCTGAATATAGAAAAGTTGATGATTAAAGGTGATTCTAAGTTCATAGTGGGATGGCTGAAAGATCCGGAATATGTGATTTGGTGCTATAGGAATGAAATGCAGAAACTCAAATGGATAACGAAAAATATGACACTCAGTATACAGTGGGTGAGGAGGATGGCCAATGCTTTTGCTAATTAAGGGGTGAACATGGATTGATTGTATTGAGCTCAATTGTAAACAGTTATTGTTAAATTTGTGATGGGAGAGGTTGCACCTCTCTTATGGGTACTTATACTGATTATATCTGTACTGATTACAATATAGATAAATAAAATTCACTTATGAAAAAAAACCAATTTAACTTCATCTAAAATCATATAACTTCTCCAAATAAGGGGAACTTTTAGCTGTACAGCAATAGAAACATTAGACTTGCTTACAACCCAAAATCATGTAAACTAAAGCATGATAACCACATTTTATCAAACTGTTCCTGAAGGACATTCAAGCTACCTGGAACAAGAGCATAATAATTGCAAATAGAACCTTTGCAACCTCTGTTAAAAAGTTAACACTGATGGGACTAAACTTGAAACTTCCATCCACCTTAGACATAAAAACCAAAATAGGCTGCACAAGAAAGACAAGACCACATTAGGTACTTTGAAGCATTAAAAAATCCAGAAGTAATTCAAGTTAATCAGCAACCATAATACTAGACAAGTCTGTTAATTTTCTAGAACAGTTTCTTTTTATATCAATATGCTTATAGAATAATGCCAACATCGTGACTAATGTCATTCTCGAACCATTTGGACTTGCCAAAATGACAAGCAAAGTTAAGAAGCTAAAACTTAAATGATCAAATATTAACAAAAAAATACAAGGCAACCCATTGAGTCACTAGAAGCAGCTCAAGAAGCTGCATAGCACCAAGTAAGCTGAATATTTAATGGTAAATCTTGGCACCATATTGTTCCTTCCCAAAGAAAATGCAGAATCTAACAGAAGATGAATTCATCTCAGTCATGGCTCCACTGTTATCTGTAACAAGAATCATGAATCATACAGAAGACCATATTAGAATATGCCAAATCACCTGTAGACCGACCAAGATGCAATCCCCAACAACCAAAAGGACATTGAGGGCTCGGTACTTAGATGATAACTTGCTCCTGTGCCGATCATATGCTCTTGACACGGTTTTTGAAGTTGGAGAAACCAATTTAGAGTGGCAGACACTGCATTCTATCATCCCGTTCTTCATTAGCTATTAGCTTAATTCCCGAATTATCACCAAGAATTAGAACTTTATCTACAATACGCAAAGGTGGACCAATTGAAGCAGCAGTATTATCATTGTCGGCCCCAGACACATCTTGTAGTAGATAGAACCATCCAAGAAAACCTATTGTCAAAAGTTCAAACCACTCATCATTGGAAAGAACCCCACAGGCAACAATATTTATACTTCATCGAATAAATTCTTATAGAATCAGATTGTTTGAATTGGATAACTATAAATTTCAGAAAAAAATACGGATACTATCATAACTTCATACAACTAAATATACAGCAAGCCACCAAATTCAAGTCAACGACCAGCAAAATTGAAACTTTCCTTCACTTCCATAATCAAAACCTAACCAGATCTTGTCATCAAATCAACAAATCTATGATTTGCAATTCATATAGTCATGGAATCCAAAAAAAACTGCTTGAAACCACACGATCATATCGACAAAGTCATATACTGCAGATACACGACCGGGATCTTTCCTAGTCCAACAAATTAATTGATCTCCAGAGATTCGGACACCTTAACCACCCAAACGACCTCGAATTCAATCAAATTTCAAAAAACAGTACTCAGGTGAAAAAAGAAAAAGAAAACTCTCAATTCAGCATTCCCAGCCCAATTCAAAATCCAAAACCACTGGAACCGCTATTATTCGACGAGATTTGAATACCTGGGTAGCTGAACTTACCAAACTCCGATACGATTCGAGGAATTAGCGCGCCAAAACAGGGAGAATTCTTCGATCTGGTCCAAGGAACTCGAAGAAAGAGAGAAATAGAACGCTTGTGGCACTCAGATATGGATCTATGGAGATCTATAGATGCGAAGAATATACAGAGACAGTGAGCATTTGCGAAGTATTTATAGCCGCAAAGTTCGCTTCTTCTCTTCCCTTTACAAAGTTTGCTTGAATTTTACAATAGTCTTCATGCGCCGTTTGCGGTTGCTGCAGGTATGCAACAAGAATTTCAAAAACAAAAGTAAATAAATAAAGATGTGTAATAAGCATGAAGACAGAACAACACTTTCGACTGGAATCTTGTGCGTTTGAACTCGCTGGAAAATCACTACGAGTTCGCAACCTTTCACTTTTTGAACCAACACATTATAGGGGTAGAGGTGTAAATCCAACCGTGCTTCCCTCCGCCTCTCAGATACTTTGGGGGTCCGCCCGGCACAGCCCATGTGGGCCTGTACCGTGCCATGGCCTTGGTCAGGTGGGCTGTAAGTTGTGTCGTAGACCTAAGCCGTGTCACGCTGGGCTACGGTCTTGGCCTTGGGCCTGGGCCAAACCAGGCCAGTCTTTTTTTTTTTTTTTGCTAAGTAAAATATTTAACTTTGGGAACCAATAAGAAAATTAAAAAATAACAAAAGTTTGAAAAAACACTTAACAAAATACAAAACTTGAAAAAAAAATAGGAATTTTATTTCATTTGAATTTGAATTTGAACAATACAATGGTCAATGGATGAATGAAATATGGAAAATGGAATAAAATATAAAAACAATATAATAAAATTATAGATTGACAATAAAAAATTACATTGTTGAAAAAATAACAAATAATTAAAATAAAATTGAAAAACAAAATTTACAATAATTTTAAAAATGCAATACAATTATTGACTATACAAAAAAATATTGACTTCAACATTTTTCTTCATATTCCACATACATCTCCTTGACCCTGATCATCATCTATTTCTATTGAAACATCAAGTGAAATGTCATGCCATCCTTTATCATACAAACAATCATCAACATCCAACCAATCTTTCAAACATATGCACATCTCCATACTTTCATCATTCGTGCAACTTCTCTTATCATCCAACACCCTAGTACCTGCATTAAGACAAGACTAAAATATCAAAAGTATTCATTTCCATGTAGCAAGAAAGATATTTTTTTTCCATATTCACTCTACCACGCTAAAATATCAAAAGTATTCATTTCCTCCGAGTCAAAGTAATCACCTGAATGAGAAAAATTTGCTTGTAAATAAAAAATAAATAAATTTAGTAAATGAACTTATTGATGAAGTGGGAGTATATTTTTGCCTCTTACTTATTGATGAACTAGTTGTTTTAAAAGTGGAAGTTGCACCTATACAAGTTCCAACTTTCCTATGCCCTAGATTCATATAAATCATACATATCAAATAATAAACAATTAATTTCTTATTTTTTATTTCCAATTTCAATATTCACATTTTCACAATACGATTCAAATAAAACATATAAACCATCTTTCCTAATCCTAGAATCTAAAATTGTAACTAAGCAATAAAGAAGAAAAATGTTATTTCAATATTTTTTAAATTTATTTTCCATTATTTCAACAATACTTTTAAATTGTGAATGCTTTCTATATTTTGCAAAATATTCACTAATTATAAATAAATGATTAACTAAAATACTAGTTCAGTAATGAACACCCGAAATTTCATTAGTTGTATCATAAAAAATTTGTAAAAAAATCTTTTCTAAAACCTACCATTTTCTATTCTTCCTCAAATATAATATCATATGGTATTTTGTATTATAAAATTAATAAGAATTTGTTTATAAAAAATACAACTTTATTAAGTAGAATAGGTAGAATTCCATCTATGTTGAACATCCAATACAAAATTTGTATATTTTAAACCATAATTTTGACATAAATATTTAAATTCTTATTTTCTTATTTTAGAACTTCTTATATACAAAATACAATTTCTGATTTTAGAAATATAAGAAAAAATAATAGTTAAAGCATCTTAAACACATAAATTTAAGATGTGGCGTGAACATATAATATGAAATAAGACATGGTTTAATTGAGATTTTAAAATAATAATTGTTGAATCATTATTACTAGCTTTATCAAAACTAACAGAAAAAAAGTTTATTTTCAAGGGGTTTCTTCTGTCAACTTCCCCTTAGAAATCGAAATTTCAATTAACCTGGTACAGAATACGAAACTTCCATCAACTCCAGCTAAAAAATATGAAATTTTTCCAACTCCTCCCCCCATTAGCAAAACAATAATAATATTATACCGTTATACCCCTCAACACAATTCGAAACAAGAGAAAAAGAACTCTATTTGAAAATCGATGATTCGTTCCACCATTTGAAAATGATGACTATCTTCTTCCCTATGCTCCTTTATTTGTCATCTAGTTGAAAATCAACAATTTGTTCCTCCATTCAAAAACGACGATTGTCTTCTCCCCCGTGCTCCTCCATTCATCATCTAGTAGATGACTTCTCTATTGCTCCCGACATTCTTCTTCCCTAAAGGCCCCCTGTACTAGCCATCCGAGGCAACCATTCTTCACCGTCGGAAGTGAGCTTTCCCGACCATCGTGCACCCCCATCCAAATCTAGTAATCTATGGCAAGCTAGAGCTCAGAAATCTATTTGCTGGAGATTCAGTAGTTTATAGTGGGATTTGCTCCTCCAAAACCCTGTTCTATTGCTTTGAGTGTGGTAAGGAATTAGCTATATTTTTTTCTTTGCATTTTCCATTACTCGTTGTGTTGTCTCTTGAACTAGGAGATGTTGTAGAGTTTGTCTCTAAGTTTGGATCACAAGAGAAGGCTCCAACAGATTCTCTTTGAACACTTCGTAGATTTGCCACGGTTGACTATGGAGATGGCCCTTTTGAGTTATCTAGTAAAATTGTGGGACTCAACTATCCAATGATTTATAGTTGGTGAAAGGATTGTGCAATTCCATGAGGCTGATGTTGCCTTGATAACGAGGCTTGGCCTATCAGGTAGTACAGTTGCCCTATCGGAAGGCCTTCTTGGTAGTGGATTGTTCAAAAAATCAATTGGCTTTGATGAAAATCACTCTACCTCTGTAGAGCTGGATCTCGTATGGCGTAGGCTAAAAAAGATTCTTTCGTTAGATGGTGAGGAGCACATTGAAGAAATAGTGAAGCTGATTATTTTGTAATTATTTGGTTATGTGTTGTTTCCCTAAGGCAGTTCAAGGGTGAGCTCCTTCTAGGCTAGATATGTTGATGATTTACAACGTATCGATGGTTATGATTGGGGTAAATGTGTACATGAATTCTTAGTCGGTGGTCAAGATCAGTTTGTTTCTAGTTGTGGTGCTGGAACAAGCGAAGGCTCATCCTCGTATAGTGGCTGCCTATTTGGATACTGAGCTGTGTTGATGGTTAGTGTGGATGGCATTCATTTTTTTTATTTATACTTTATATTAATCTCATTCAATTGAGGATCACTTATTGGTTGATTGCTTTTTTAGGCATGTGAATAGAGAGTGCAACACTGTACCTTGCAGCCGAGGGAGAGGTCCTCTCTTGTTGGACAGTGTTTGATCATTATGGGCTGAGAGGTTAAGTGTAAGACCATTTAGGATTTATACCTGATGGGCTAATCTCACATAAGTCCATAGTCCTTGGGCCTTCATAAGGTGGTTGGACCCAATGACCATTTAGTGTAAATGTTGGGCCTGCTAAGAGCTCATACTGATGGACTTAGAGGTTCACTGTCTTTAGTAGTGAATTCGGCCAGGCCTTATAACAACGGCTAGGCTGAACCCATATGGGCCTAAGGCCCAATTCAAACTGGGCTAATTAGATTAGTTAAGAGATGGGTGAATTTAAGTTTATATCTGCTTCTAAATCAGCAAGAGGATAAGATATGTCTTATCCACTTAGGAGTTCTGATCCAAATAAAGATTTTGATCAAAGAACCCTCTCTTGATATGATTAGAAAGTTGATCCAAAAAGGCTTATAAATAGAGGGAGAAATCCTTCTGTTAAACACTTTTTGCAAATCTCAAATCTTCTCTCTATTCTTGCCTCCCTACCTTGTTCGATCTCTAGTTCTTGGAGTGACCAAGATTGGATCTTAATATTGTTTCTTGCTGAAAGAAACAATCTTAATGTTGTGCTCCCATCCCTGTGTGATTCTTGCTAAAGAAGTGGGGTTCTTGCTGAAGAATCTCTTTGTTGATCCTGCCTTACCCTAAGCTATGTCAACGTCAGTGGAGGAAGAATTTGGTGAACTTTTTGGGTGTGAAGACCTATGTTGGGAACTACTGTTGATTCCATACCAGGTATATCCCTTCCTTTACCTTGGTTTCAGATTTGGTCTGATTTGTTTCAAGAACGAACCTTAAAAAATGTAGTTTTTCTAAAATAGGGAATAGGATTCCCGAAAGGGAGAAAAAAATTTTTTGAAGTTTCGCCCAGCCACCCTACATGGTTCGGCCATCCATATGATGGATCTCCATTCCCTTCACCTTTGGTGTTCATATGTAGTTTGTGCACCCAGGGGCCTTAGAGTGGGTGTTGGTCATGAGTGGGGTCGAAAAGGGCGAAAGGTATTTTTAGCGTAGCATACATATTTTGAGTTATATACAAGTTGACTTACTACTAGTGTTGAGATTTTTTAACTAGCGTCAAACTAGATTTTTCAAAAATTTTGCAAATCCTGCATGGAATCTATGGAATATCAAATTCTTTGTATGGAGGCCAGTGAGTATGCCTCAACAAAAAAGCAGAACGAGGCACTTAGTAATGAAGTTAATAGGCTTCATAGAATGTTGAGAAATAATGGGATGGACCCAGATGTAGTACCATTTAGTGAGGGGCCGGTAGGTTTGGCAACGTATGTGCTATACGATGATGATTATGGTAAGACTTGCTTGCTAGAGTTGCATGTGGCATCACGAGGGTAGAGCAATCTTCTGAAAGGACTTGCACTATAGCCCCATCTTGCGAAATTGTTCATCTCTCCCTCCATTGCCTCTACTTACAAATGTAAGTTTCCCTGGGCAAGGAGAGAGTGAAAGCAAAACTGCATGGTGGTGTCGCCTTACCTAACTCTTGGGCAACAAGGGCAAGTAGCGGAAGAGTGTTCCATTGTTGCAGGGTCCAAAAGAGAAATGAAGGGGAAGGTGAAGTGATATTGGTGTTGTCTTGATATTGTTTGT